AAAAAAAAATGCGTACACTGATATTCTTAAAAGGTACCACAACAGCTTTTGCCATTCTTCTGCATTTATTTGCCTGAACGCATAAACAGTTAACATCGCTGCACAATCTGCTATTAATTTGCAGAAAAATCAAATGTTTGATAGCGGTGACACGGATAGCGATGGTGGTGACGACGAAGCTTCTCAGGTCCATGCGGAAGTTTCAAATAAGCCAGTTTTTTCAGAAAGTGATTTGGACGCACCGCAAGATGAAGCTGATTTCACCGGCGACATCCTATCAAAAAAAACTCAAAAGTTAGCCTGCTTGCAAAATCCCGGCTGAGGCATGGGAAAGCTAAAAAAAGCTTTGAAATTTTCCATTTTCTTATGCTTGAAGTGTTACACAGTTTGTGCTCTCAGCCGTATATAACTGTTTTCAGAATCGCAGAGCTAGCAGAAAAAAGCAAAAAGCAGGAGTTTCGGGGATTTGAGCGTCGAAACTTTATCCTTCATCAACACCTTATTCGAAAGGATTTCAGTGCCTGTAAAGCTCTCGTGAAGGTTAGGCATCCCTGTTTTAATTTCCATCGCAAAAAAAAGAGCTTCTTAAACATCGGCTACCCAAAACGCAACAGAGTTTCCAAGGCAGGTCCCCTGAGACATCAATGGACCTGCTTTGCAAGCTTTGTTGTGTTCCTCTGGGACATCACTGCTTTCGTACTAATGGCAAAGTTTTTTCAAAATTCACTTGAATGCTGTTAGCTACAAAAGAAACAGTTGACTCTAAGGGCCCACTGAAGGCAGGACCCGAAAGCTACTTAGAAGTTCATGATCGTAGAAGTGCTAGCTGCGGGAAAAAATGAACCATCAGCTTGCGCCTTGTCTAAAACATTTGATGTGGATGTAACTGCGAGGCGCGCACAACGTGCATGGTTCCATTTTTCTCACGCTTTACGTTTCTAACATATACGCAGGGTTTTGTGTCCCAAAATGAGGGAATGGGTCTGAAATCAAATTTTTTGTGTTTGAAAAACGACAGCCATTTCTCCGAGAATTAGCAAAACAGAAATATTTCAAGGAAATGGCCGACGAATACTGCGAACTATGCGAATATCCATTTTATATTAGAGGCAAAATAGCACGTATTGAAGGAAACCTTCGAGAAGCTTTAATGTGGTTAGTTGATTCTTCAAACAAGTCGGCCTTTTAGAACCTTCCTGGATCTATATGCAAGAAAGTTAAGTCAAAGTGAAATTTTGGCTTTTTGGTCTTTCGTCTAGTCACTATTTTAACAATATTTTAAAGGTTTGAGCGAGCGCGATCAGTGAATCCTCAAAACAGCACATATCTGTGGGAAATTGGGCGCATAAATTTCCTTTTTGGAAATCATGCTAAAGCAGCTGATATTTTTCTGGATGCAAGTAAGCTGGACCCGTGCAATTGGGTAACTTTGTTTTCCGTTATAGAATCAAAATACAGGATAAGTGCGAAAGAATTTTCATATAAAGGGCATGCGTGTATGATATTTGTTAAAGCATGAACATTTGTGACCAGCGGAAACCAAATCTTGGCCGAGTAATACGAAGCAGTAATTTTTTTCACGTAAATACACACCAGGCTTATGCGACCTCCATAACAAATAAATACAGAGAACTTCAAAAGTATCAAGCGATAAAAATGGCATACGTCAGAGCAGAAATTCAAGATGTCCGATGAGCTCACAAACGAATACCGCCGAATTGCTGCGTCCAAGGATTCGCTGTTTTACTAACCCAAAACATACATCCCATTTTCGATGAAAGCTGGTTTTTCTCAGCCTTCCATTTCGTATCGATGTACGGAAATAACGTGTTATATATTTAGTTTGAATAATTTTTCTACTTTCCCGAGCTGAGAAAAGAATCCCTGACTATTGAAGAGATATGTCTGCAATAGTCATTGGATTATTTTTTAATCTAAGTCAAAAAATAACATGGAAACATTTGCTCAGAATGCTTTCTTCCATGATTCCGATAGGATCTTTTTATATTTCGAATATTTCTAATATCTGAATTTCGAGGGAGAGCAATAAATCGTTTGTGGACTGCTTTTTCCAGCGGCTAGTTTGATACCCGAAAATTCCATTAGAATTTTTATTTTCTTTCGCCTGGAGCGAATTTCTCGGAAACTGTGTAAACGAGCATTTTTAAATTTTTTTTT